CAAACGTGGCCATTTTAAAGATGAGTGACCTCCACCCCCAAAATTCCCCCACCCAGCATTGTTGGGTGGGGATTTCTGGGAGTTGAAGTCCACTCATCTTAAAGTGGCCAAGTTTGGACAACACTGCACTAACGTGTTTAAAAGTAACAAAACAAAAGCAAAATACCTTGTTCTTTAGCTTCTAATCCATTTGCTTTTCAACAGAGGTGTGGAATTTAGTATTTGACACAGCAGAGCTTTCTTTAGAAATGAAATAAATGTAATTACAGGGAACACTTGGGTGTAACCTTGTCATTGTTTAGAAGGTTTCATCAGGTAATAAGAACTAGCCCATAGCTGTATTTTATTTATACATAACCTAGCAGTTAACATATGACATTCATTTAATTTCTACGGGGTTTTTTGAAAAGCAAACTGTCAACAAATATAAGTGAAACCAAACATCAAACTCCAAGTGGTTTGTACTTTAACAAATTATTTCATATAATCTCTACTTGTTGTACAGAGAAACTGTTGGAGTCCAATTAATGTTTATGAGAGAAAAACAATATGCCAGCACTGACAAAGTGAATTTGTTACAATTGCAATTCTTTGTTTAAAATGGTACAGAGACTTTTAAAAGAATATTTTCGGAGACAATTTGGAGCAATGAAAAATGTACACAGAGAGAATGGATGCTGGAAAGAAACATGCAGAACTGTGAAGGGGTTCACAATCTACAGGGGAAGGTATATCCCAAGACTGAAAGAAGAAGATTGGGAGCAACCTGTTCTTCTCCTCCCCCAATGCCTGAAATAGAACCGAGTCAGGGAAACAGGTGAAATTGCACATTGTAGATTTATTTTTCCTTTTCTTGTCCTTGGCAGCCATGGTGTGTGTCTTGGTATCTACAACTCCCAAAGTAGGTGCGACAGTAGACTATTTTTAGGATGTAAATTTCACAGACAAATTGAGAGTTAATTCACATGTTTATGGAAATGACAAAAGGATAACTGCACCAGTTTTTAAAAATATTTTCTATCCA